AATGGATATTTCGTTAAAAGTACAAGCTCAATAACCTGTCATTTGGATCCTCCTTTCGATCGATTAATTACAAGAGTTGATTAAGAGGTTGAAACTGTAGGCTGGATTTGAGCACGGGACTCCATATTTCAGCGTGGATTTCAATTGCAGATGAGTTATGTGCTGCCTAATGCAATCAGGAACACGATCAATATCCTCAGGATTGTCAGGAACGCGATCAATGTCTGCACGTTTGTTGGTAAACGCGACATGGCGGATTGATCCTACCACACAAAAGGGAACAAAAAATGATCGAAATTAATTGCGGTATTGAATTATTTTTAAATTTATATTTGTGGCAATATGTTATAAATGACTATTTAGCGATTCCTAAATGTAACAATATCGTCAATAGAATTTTAAAAACATTCTAAAAAAATCAATTCAGTCCGCTTTTCCTCTATTAAATTATTTTGATTGTGTTTAGATTGACGAATTAACGATTCCCGAAGTAGTCTGACTTCTGATCACCTTAATTTCTTTGGTGCTGATCCTTCTCAGGCTAGGACGTGGTGACGACATCAACAACTCTGAAGTAGGATCGATCGACCTAAAGTTTCGAGCTAATATTGATGTTGAATTGATTCACAAAGTTTGAAGTCCTGAAGAACTTTGAGCGCCATTACACTGGGGGAAATTATTGTCGATGTGTCGATAAATGGCCGCCGGTTGGTGTGTCGATAAATGGCCGCCACAACCCGTCTCTCATGATATTTTTTAGTGTTGTTTTTGCCTGGTATCATGTTTCTTTTTTTAATATGGCGTATTTTTAATTACATTTTATGTACTTGAAATGTAGTAGCTAGAAGAAATAAATAAATAACAAAAAGTTGCCCTGAAATTCAATTTGCTCACCACTCATGACGGGACTCACTATTAATGTTCTTTGGATTACATGCTCACACAGTTCAGTGAAGATGTAACACTTAGGGTTACATGTTCACACAGTTCAAAGAAGATGTAACACTTAGGGTTACATGTTCACACAGTTCAGTGAAGATGTAACACTTAGGGTTACATGTTCACACAGTTCAGTGAAGATGTAACACTTAGGGTTATATGTTCACACAGTTCAGTGAAGATGTAACACTTAGGGTTACATGTTCACACAGTTCAGTGAACATGTAACACTTATGGTTACATGTTCACACAGTTCAGTGAACATGTAACACTTAGGATTATATGTTCACACAGTTCAGTGAACATGTAACACTTAGAATTATATGTTCACACAGTTCAGTGTACATGTAACATGTATCACTTAGGGGTAACACTTTCACTGAATTCAACGGCTTAGCGGTTGTCTGTGTAGGGACGATCGAGGGTTCGTACCAGGTTCTAATTCAAAGTTACCTTACTAGGAGTACTGGTAGCGATGATAGATGATGCATAACGCATAATAAATCATTAGCCAGAAAATATCAATTGAAATATTCTTAACTCTTTATCAACAAAAAAAAAAGAAATGGCCTAAATCCATATAATTAAGAATAAAAATACGGGAGTTATTTGCATAATTCTTTCTCACTTAAAATTATTTACTTGAAGTCTACCTCTTGATGGATTCGATTTCTTGCTTATAACGTTTGCCGCGAAGAATGATCTCTTGCGTGCCCTCATGCCACCCTTCATAAACGAGCTAAAAAATGTGTTTTTTTTTATAATTTAATTTTGTCAAAGTGAAATCGTCATATCTCCGAGAAACATAAATTTTTGTTTCACAACATATTTGCACACCATGCGGCATCCTATTAACGCCTCTTAGAAGGCTTAGCACGGCCTTTAATTTCACTTGGTCGCGTCAATGGCAAAATTCCACAAACAGTTCAGTGAAGATGTAACACTTAGGGTTACATGTTCACACAGTTCAGTGAAGATGTAACACTTAGGGTTACATGTTCACACAGTTCAGTGAACATGTAACACTTATGGTTACATGTTCACACAGTTCAGTGAACATGTAACACTTAGGATTATATGTTCACACAGTTCAGTGAACATGTAACACTTAGAATTATATGTTCACACAGTTCAGTGTACATGTAACATGTATCACTTAGGGGTAACACTTTCACTGAATTCAACGGCTTAGCGGTTGTCTGTGTAGGGACGATCGAGGGTTCGTACCAGGTTCTAATTCAAAGTTACCTTACTAGGAGTACTGGTAGCGATGATAGATGATGCATAACGCATAATAAATCATTAGCCAGAAAATATCAATTGAAATATTCTTAACTCTTTATCAACAAAAAAAAAAGAAATGGCCTAAATCCATATAATTAAGAATAAAAATACGGGAGTTATTTGCATAATTCTTTCTCACTTAAAATTATTTACTTGAAGTCTACCTCTTGATGGATTCGATTTCTTGCTTATAACGTTTGCCGCGAAGAATGATCTCTTGCGTGCCCTCATGCCACCCTTCATAAACGAGCTAAAAAATGTGTTTTTTTTTATAATTTAATTTTGTCAAAGTGAAATCGTCATATCTCCGAGAAACATAAATTTTTGTTTCACAACATATTTGCACACCATGCGGCATCCTATTAACGCCTCTTAGGAGGCTTAACACGGCCTTTTATTTCACTTGGTCGCGTCAATGGCAAAATTCCACAAGAAAAACCGGCCAAACTTGGCCATTTTCCGGCTTCGCAGGCGTCAGGCGCTGCGCTACGGCCAATTCGGGCCACTTGGCGGGGCGCTCAGCTCGGACCAATCTACGAGTCGCCTGCGCTACTGTTGTTTATTTATAACGTTTTATGTATTTTGTACGTATGTCGGTTATGCAAGAGATCTTCCTTTTCCCGAGTCAACTGAATTTGCGCATTATTATAATTTCATTCAATTGCTTTATTTGCCGTAAGCTTTAACATTTTTCTCTTGCATTTAATTTAGAGGTTTATTTATAACGTCTTATTTATTCTGTACGTATGTCGGTTATGCAAGACATCTTCCTTATCCCGAGTCAACTGAATTTACGCATTATTATAATTTCATTCAATTGCTTTATTTGCCGTAAGCTTTAACATTTTTCTCTTGCATTTAATTTAGAGATTTAGAGATTTATAAGTTTTTCTTTCATGCCATCTTACTAGCCGTGTAAAATAGAGGTAATAAGTATGAAGTAGATTAAAATATAGCCAACGTTCTGGTCAAGGAAACACACAGTTCTTTCATAAAATCAATATTAATATCTACGAGTCTAGATAAAGGCTTATTGAAATTATAATGAAAACAAAATGTGGAAAATTCTAGAAATTCACTAAAGATTCAAAGTTTGCGTTAAAATTATACTTTAATATCAGCCTAGGATGTTGAAATGCTGCAGTCTTGATGCTCTTATCTTTACAACCAAAAAGAGTTTTTATCAGATAAGCGCTGTGAATCCACTTCACATTTTTGCTGATATGTAAAAGAAGTTTAGTCCGTGAGTGCATTGGTTAAGCGAGGAGGTCGGTTTTCCTAAAGTAAAAAATTGAAGCTGGAAGAATGAGTTTATTTTTATAATTTTTTATCATTTAATGCACAATCGTCAAGCAAATCCGTATGCGAGTGACTGTTAGAAATTGCAAGTCAAAACGTCGATTGTTTGAGTTAGTTTAGTTTATCGCATCAAACGCACTCCAGCTCTGCAAGCATTGCTTAAGTCGTATCAGCATTCAATTTGTACACACACTAAAATCCAGTTCTGTAAGCATTGCTTAACATTGAGATCAGTGGTGATTAAAAATTCTGTCAGTGTATTCCGCAGTGAATGCCTAGGTTGAAAATTAGATGCATTTATCAAGCTTAATCAAATATAGGCGTCCAGACATGCGCTTCAACTGTTCTACTCCGTAAAATCACCATTCAAAATAAACATTTTACATTGGTGTTAGAAAATGAATGAAACAAAAATTCGGAATGCTAGAATACTCCAGAGCAGAAAATATTGAAGCAGGATCAAGGCTTGCATTTTACAGGCACCATGAAGACTGCAACAATTTTTAACAATCAGGAACATACGATCATAGCTTGCCCGATGAAACACAGGAGGCACTCATATCGTTGGCCTTAAAATAATCGAAGATTTGCTGTTAATGTTTCTAACCAAGTGTTTGTCAGCTCGGAATGATTTCTTCTAAAAATATGATTGACAACGAGAAAGGAATTTCACTTAAAGTAGCGATAAAACATTGTCTTATCATGACGGCCGAAGCAGGCTGTCTTTAGTTAGATTCGATAAAGTGAACGCCAAATGCTATACGAAAGATAATTAAATTGAGATGAATACAAGCATAATGAAGAAGAACAAGCGTCTCAAAATTTGAGAATTTCTACCGTAAAATTGATATTTGAACAGATCCAGTGTAAATTTTCTTTTCGAATTGAAGAAACAGTCAAGTAGAAAGCACATTAATTTATGATTTTACACGAAAACTTGAATTGCTCATGTTGTACTAAATATTTATTCATCAATGAATAATGAAACATGTCATTTCGCGGTAAAAATGGTTACTGCGTAGCTATGGGATTCATTCGTGTTGAAAACAAAAATATCCGCGCTTAGTTTTAAAATTTGTAGCTTAAGAGAGCAAACATCGTGCTCGGCAATCATACTTGACAGACAAATATAGCAACTAAGTGACTCCAATTAAATGGAAAGAATCCAATTTGNGATGTGTATAAGAGACAGGTTGACCATTCAATCAGAACTCACTTCAAATACACTTATTAGAAACCAATTGGTTAAATTTACAACATTAGTGAGGATTAACATTGAAAAGATCAATCTGAAGTGACATGAATCTATGGTTAAAATTGACACTTTATAGAAATATTAATCTTGTTTGTATTGTAACAAAAAGGATTTTGCATTTGGCTAATGCAAACTATCACTAAAATTATAATTACCTTTTGCGATTAAATATTAATAATATATGTACATTTTATGAATATAATTGACGTTGACACAGCTGGTACGTGGGACCTATGGACCGAGAGGCCACCGAGGCCCTCCTGAGGCCAGCAGAAGTGCCTCCCATGACTCACCTCGTTCGCAAGTCTGTTAAGGAGACTGATTTTGTCATCTCGTGTGAGGAAATTATCAACTTTTAACCTTATTTCATCCTTCTTAATTATTATGCATCAGAATTTTGTATGTAGTTTAACCACTCATCAAATCTTCAACGATACAGCACAGTTTATTCAACATTTTCCCGTATACAAATCGTTTTGACATCGACGAAAAGTCGATTTGCAGTGATACCTTTGTTTTTCTTTGAATCTTGTTAGCTACAGCAAATTTTATAGCTTTTTTGAAGGCAATGTGATTAGGTTTTGTGGATATTAGTAGCAAACTTATTCTAACCCCAATTTTTTCCCTTAATTTGAATTCTCTTCTGCTCCACTCTCTTGGTAGATTATTTTTTGGTCTCGTTTAATGTGAAGCTAGTGTATTATGATTAATGCCTCAATCCACTGATAGATAAGATGAATATTTATCAGTTACGATCAAATGTATTCACTATTCAAATTGATATTATTGCTTCCGTAACCGATCAATCTTAATTAGTTTACTGTCAAAGGTATTCAAATAAGTATAATTGTAATTTCATTCATACACAGACAAAAAACTGGAAGGTAATAGCTTCGGTCATCGCAAAATATTCAAACATGGCGACAGCTACTGGACCAAACCCGACATGAGATTCAGCAGCATGGCTGAACTGGTGCAGCACAGTTCCAGTGCTAACAAATGGATTCTTTTCGACAAATTCTACGAAACTGTAAGATATGGACGCTGACTTTTATTACTTGACAAGATTTATAATATAGAAAATTTAGGTTAATTAAAAAAGTAATACGTAAAAAGGGTAATAACGGACAAAAATCTTTTGATAATATTTCAACTTGTGATGCGAGAATAGAGAGAGCCGCAACATAACATCAACAAATACATTTATACCATCAAAAATTTCACTCTCATACTCCATTGATGACTCCAACATGATTGTGTCAAGGATATACATAGAAAATTTTATAATTTTATTAGGAATGTTTTGTTTACTGCAATTGTTGTCATTATATGAATAACACTTTTACGATGCTTGACACTATTTATTTCATTCGTGACCAAATTCAAGTTTCGTGAACTATTTCTTATATCTTGAGCGTAAACGGATAAAAACTTATAAGTTTTAAACTCTTTTCAACTCAGCACACACAGCAAGTCTCACCCAACTCCAGCGTGGGTTCCAACACAGCGGACACCGAAGCCGACTATGAAGCTTCCGCCTACTCGGTAAGAGCTGGCGCGGTTCACAGTATTTATTAATATATTATAAGTATAACATTATATATTATCTATGTTATTTATATCATATCATTATATTCAACGTCATTTTAGTCAAAGTGATATTTGATAAAAAAAATAACAGCGTGATTATTTGAACAAATATAACCATACATAATTATATAATGTTGAATGTGATAATAAATCTAATGATTATAAAATACTGATTATTTATGTATGTCGTAACAAAAAATAATGTTTTAAATTTGGCAAGATTTAGCAATAAGAGTAACGGTCTTTGAATTTGGCAACTTGTTTAAAATCCTCGCAAAAATTTGTCAACAGGATGTTCTTTAGAGCTGTTATCGACTTTACTAGAAAAATTAGAATATAAAATTATTAAAATTAAGTAGAAACTTTAATAAATTAAATTAATAATTTAATGTGTGTGCGCTTATATAAGTTCAGCATTTTCAGGGGCCATTTAAAATTTTGGTTTGTTGCTTGCTTATTTTTTCTAGTAAAATAAACATGTTTAATCAGTGCTCAAGTTGCGGATCAAATTTTTACATAATTTGACAGAAATTATCATATTACTTTATTTATTTTATTAATTAAAAATTCCCCGAATACCACAAATATAAGTGAGGACTTAAATCGTGAGTAAACTAGCGCCATGTCACGCACGTAATGCGCACAATCTTTTTTTTTATGTTCCACCGGCTAATTCATATATGGCTACGTACATAGCTAGTTGACAAACAAAGCCTTAATAGTAGGTTACATTTCATTAATCATTAATTTTTGTTTACAGTATACGTTTATGTAAACATTGGGGTTTAAGATCAATTCCATTCCCCGTTGATGCTTGGTTTCGATTTCATCCGTTTAGTGACAAAATATTTATTCATATCCAGCATCTCACCAAATTTATAAATTATTGTTGGTATATCTTTCATAATATTTTGATGTGACTCCTTCGAGTGTAACAAAGTAACGATTATCGACGTGTTCATCCCAGGATTACGGCCAGACGATGTCAAATTCCAGTGAAACGGCGTCATCTGTTGAAGTTGCAAGCAGTGAAGAAGCACCTGTCGTATCAAGTCTTATTGTCGAACTTAATAGAAAAAGACAGATAACATCACAGGATCCAAAAACCACAGACGTAAGAAAAAATTCTTCGGGAGCTTTAGGCAGGAGTTCTAGCATTGTTTCGACTAGAATCGTTCAATTCAACGAATTGCAGAACTCTGGTGAAATTATCACAGATACTAGATCAATAAATGCACCAAAACAGGAAGAAACCATCGGAGTTACCCTGCCTGAGAGCAATGACAACATTGCTGCTACGAGTGGAAATACGGCAACCACGGGACAGGTAATTCAGCATTTATATCAAATAATTCATAATCAATAGAGAAAAAGTATTTGAAAGGGTCTAAGTTGATTATTTAAAAAATTTAGGGTACTTTTTATGACTGCTAGTTATATAAGTGAAAAACAAAATTCGATAGAAGCGAAGTTAAGTATCGATAAAGTACATAGGCAGAGATCTCAGGCATAAAATGCTACTAGAATTTTTTCTCTACCACATGATACTATAACAAATTATAAGAGTGCAATTCAAATTTCATGTTAATGAATATGGTCATTCAGATCAACCAGTCTGATAAATTGCTTATCAAGGAGATTTATTGATACTCTCATATCTTACATTATTTTTCACTTGGTTATTTAGCCCTTGTTTAATTGGCATTGATGTCATACTTACGAACTTATTATGTCATTTTGTTTTTATTTTTGCGTGAGAAGCATAAGCAAAATAAGTTACCTCCTCATTAATTAAAACCAATTCATAACTTCAGGTCATCATTCCGAAAACACACTTCTTCCTACGTTCGGAAACATAAGTGACATGAGTTACCGCATTCATTAAGGCCTTGCACCCTGTACATATGACTTTCCCACCAGGCATCTGACAATGAAACAATGTTGAATCAACGTTATCAACATTAATTTTTCTTCAACTTTAATTCAGCCAAATAACGTTTGATTCAATGGCAAGTGTATGGTTGATTAGCACATCATTGCATTTAACAGAGTACCCCCTCGGACCCGAAGCAGCAGGAGGAGGAAGAGCAGGTTGACAAGAGCGACTGGTACCTGAACCCAGGCGATGTGACCAAGGAGCAAAGGCTAGGTGCAGGCAACTATGGCGAGGTCTGGAAAGTTGTCTTGCGGAGATCAGGGAAAGTGTTTGCCATGAAGACCATGAAGCCAGGTAAAATCTCAAACAGATAAAAAGTTATTTGTGATTTGTTTTATTTACGACACTGATTTTTGTGATTAACGCCAGGGATTTATGTAATTTACTGCAGTGATTGTGGAGATAGTTGATTGGCAGGTCTCAAAAATAACCCTAATTTTCAAGACAGCAGGATCAGTGTAATTTTTCCTGGCTGTCGATTAACAGTCAACCTAAACATCACATTCAAATTGACTCATTATTTTACTACAAATTCTAGTCTAGCCATAGGATCTATCGATAGCCGCTACAAATTTTAGGACGCTCTGTTATCTGATTTTTCTATGAAAAAAAAAACGAAGTTATGTTGTTTTGCAATAAAATTTGCGAAGATTGAACAAAAAATTTATGCTAAGATGTTATTACTGTTTGAACAGCGCTACAAACAGCTTCTATTAACTAAAAAATTAGTTTAATACCAGAGAAAGCCAACGAATTTTCTTCAGTTTATTGCAACGAGATCTTATGAATTATAACCGCTTGAAAAAAAACATGTAATAACAGAAATACTTTTATGAAATAATTATCATTGTTATTAGAACTTAAGTATTTTTTGCGCAATTGTAGCTAAAATGGCGCTTGAGGAGTTCGAGAAGGAAGTGACGACGATGATGTCGTTCAGACACCCGAATTTAGTGAAGACGTACGGTGTTTGCAGCGATCCTTACGAAAGCTTCATCCTCATTGACTACCTCGTCAACGGCAGCCTCATGGATTACATGAAGGACGCGAGAGAGGGAAAAAGTGAGACTTTCAGGCATTCATATTTTATTGAATTTTTTTATTTTAAGTGAAATCGTTAATAACTTTTTCTACTATTAGTGGAAAATTACTATTTTTTCCGGATTACTATTTACTATTTATTTAGAAAATTACTATTTTTTCTGGATATCAAGTTAAATTTGAACATCTTTTACAGAAAATCCTTTGTCCGAGGGACAAAAGTACCAAATTGCGTGCGGCGTGTTGAAGGGCATGAAATATTTGTCCGAGGAAAACTGCATTCACCGAGACCTGGCCGCGCGTAATGTGTTGCTCACCGACGACCTCACGCCCCGAGTGGCAGACTTCGGTCTGGCGCTGCTGGTAGACCCGGTAAGACCTACGCTGACTTCGGTCTGGCGCTGCTGGTAGACCCGGTAAGAGGTAAGACCTGACACTGACTTCGGTCTGACGCTGCTGGTAGACCCGGTAAGACCTGACACTGACTTCGGTCTGGCGCTGCTGGTAGACCCGGTAAAACCTGACACTGACTTCGGTCTGGCGCTGCTAGTAGACCCGGTAAGACCTGACGCTGACTTCGGTCTGGCGCTGCTGGTAGACCCGGTAAGACCTGACACTGACTTCGGTTTGGCGCTGCTGGTAGACCCGGTAAAACCTGACACTGACTTCGGTCTGGCGCTGCTAGTAGACCCGGTAAGACCTGACACTGACTTCGGTCTGGCGCCGCTGGTAGACCCGGTAAGACCTGAAATTGACCGCGCGTTGCAATATAGTTAAAATATGAATACCAGATCATGAATAAAATTATTTCATATATAAAGTTGTGGAAAGAGTAGTATGAAAGGAGATTTGCCATGTCAAAAATGAATGATTATGTTCCAATGTAATTTTCGGAAAGTCGAGAACGTCATCACTTCTACTATAAATGAACACATAAGCTGTAGTTTATTTGTAGAAATATTCATGAAAATATGCAATGTGATTTGAATAAAATTCAACGAAATAATGATATATTTGTCCCGTCAATTAATGCTTGAATAATTATAACATTCTTTATCTCCATTTACTTTCCTTACCTGGAGGGCCAATCTAACATATTTTTCATTGATGAATTTCTACAAACGGTTCAGCATTAGGAAATCAACAACGTGAATAATAAAATTATCTTTATGTCAATTAAAATATTTTTGATGACTCGAGACAAATTTATTAAAAACAGAAACAACCGGATAAGAAGAAGAAAGACACGATGGGCACTCCGTGGATGTGGACAGCGCCTGAAGCTCTGCGTGGCAAAGACAAGTGGAGCTCGAAGAGCGACGTGTGGTCGTACGGAGTCTTTTGCTGGGAACTGTACACCGACTGTACGAGTAACCCCTACGCGCCTGGTGAGAACCTCGTACAGTGCAGGTGCTCAATTTCAGCGCGCGGGTAGTAAAACTGTCTTGAGTACTTGGGTAACATTGCAGTGCACTCGAGGTAAAAAATATCTTGAGTAAAATTGCACTGCGCAGGCAGTAAAAATATATTTAGTAAAATTGCAGTGCGCTGGTAGTAAAAATATACTGAGTAAAATTGCACTGCGCTGGTAGTAAAAATATATTTAGTAAAATTGCAGTGCACTGTGAGTAAAAATAGATTGAGTAAAATTGCACTGCGCTGGTAGTAAAAATACCTTGAGTAAAATTGCAGTTCGTTGGTAGTAAAAATATATAGAGTAAAATTGCAGTGCGCTGGTTGTGAAAATGCCTTGAATAACATTACAGTGCGCTGGTAGTAAAAATGCCTTGAGTAACATTACAGTGCGCTGGTAGTAAAAATGCCTTGAGTAAATATTGTTAGTTTACATAGATTAAAAATTCGTCAAAAATATAAAAGAAATAAAACACCAAGTAAATTAACCATAATTTCATTCAATTGAACCTCAATATAAGTATTGAGATCACTTAATTCACTTCAATTCATCTGAATTGTTCCAAAGTGAATTTTAGCTTACTAATTGTTTGTACCTGTGTTCTAGGTATTGAACTGACGATGGAGATGGACTCTGAAACGTTTCCTCTTATAAGAAATGATGAACTTTTTGGATATTTTCTTTGCTATTAAATTCCTTGTAACCTCAATATGTGATACAATCGTTGCCTGCAGAGACCATAATATGCAATCTTTTGGTGCAGAGATAGTGAGCTCGCTCCACCTGAGCCGGTATCTCCTGAAGGGCGGCAGACTTACCTTGCCCTCGTCCTGCCACCTCACCGCCCTCATCCTCAGCTGCTGGACGTACGATCCCAGCGAACGACCTTCCTTCAAAGACCTACATGAGCAAATGCAGCAGCAGGGAGCGCCAAAAGCAACAATACAGAATAATATTACAGACGTCCAAATCTAAGAAATCTAAAGCCTATAATTTGCGTTTCTATCTAAGGCATAGTAGTAAGTTATAGATTTTCCGTTTAGGGAATCAATTTAGAAAATTGTTAAAGTGATTCCAATTTGACAACTGAAGCCTTTTGGGGAACGAAGGTCCGCTTAGAAAATGCGATACCTGAGATCATTAAACAATAAGTCAAAATGGTTTGATAATGTAAATTTTTCCCACGTAATGCCGTCTTTCACATTATATTGGTTGCGTTGCATTTAAGGAAAGACGTCATTAGTTAATTATTCTATCGTCAGGTTAATTGAATTCAGATTTCAGGGTATACTAGTTTACCAATGTTCATCGTCATTATTTCTCGCACCTCAGATGTGATTACCTTTCAGCCCAAGGAAAATAACAACATGACCCAGAAAATTACTATGAACATCTGAAACCAAGTAAACACTGAAACTCAAATTCAATCACAAATTACCTGATGCATTCTTACGTAAAATTAACCCGAAATATTACGACAGCTTAGAACAAGCGGGTTGCAGCTTGAGACCTGAAAGGGTAAGAACGTAAAGGAAAGGGCTGAATGCTGAATGCCTACGTGTAGTAGGTGGATTGAAGCGTGAAGGCAAGATCAAAAATATTGTGGCAAAAGGAATAGAATGTTTAAGGGCTGTAGAACGATGGTTGGGAAGCAAGGGTCGAAGCATCAGTGTCGGAGAATGATGAGTGGCCCACAAGGGTTGGAGCACAAGTGTAGGAGTATGATGGTCTTCTTCGTCCGCATTTCGACCTTTGTGATTTCCATCAGATTTCCGGTGGCTGGCAAACGTCCAGAGCTCATGGCTGAACTGACTGCCTCGTCTGCCATGAGGGCTGAACTGGCTTTCGCTTCAGCCATGAGTGGATGAACTGGCTTTCTCTTTAGCCATGAGTGGTGGAACTGGCTTTCTCTTTAGCCATGAGTGGATGAACTGGCTTTCTCTTTAGCCATGAGTGGTGGAACTGGCTTTCTTTTTAGCAATGAGTGGTGGAACTGGCTTTCTCTTCAGCCATGAGTGGATGAACTGGCTTTCTCTTTAGCCATGAGTGTTGGAACTGGCTTTCACCGTGAGTTATGACTGAATGTTGGTTAGGTATTTCATCTCAGATTAGTCTTACACTCAGAGAAATGAATGGGTTATATCGTCCAAGTAGTGACCTACTTTCTGCAGGTAGCAACGATACGACCCTTTGCCAGGCAAACTCGGACGGGATAACCAACATTAGGGCGAAAAGTGCATCTCTATTTGGACAAAGTCTAACTTATTTCTTTGAGTGTATCAGCCTGATTCATTTAATGTCAACGAAAGTAATTGTTACGAATCTTCCCATAATGATGTTTGTTTATTCACAGCATTCTTATGTTATGTATGATTACACAATTCATTCGTAAATGTCATAATGAAAATTTTACAGTTATTACTGAATATATGTAAGGTATATAATATGTAACATGAATCAATTAGGAGAGCTTAATTTTAAAATTAAATAAAAAGCATGAATGAAATTATCTTGGTCCAAAAACATCGTTTATTTACTCGCAAATACACTTTATTTCTGATTATCAAAGCTAAGTTTTGGATAAAACAAATATTTATGATAAAAAAGTTCTCTACATTTATTTTAAAGGGATATTCTTTCAGAAAACATTAATTAAAGTACTTGGTAAGAGACTGCAGGAATCCGCCTTGTTCGAAAGCGAAATCTAATAAAAATGCAAATAGTGTTGAAATAATAGATATTTTGTAGCACATTTTCAGCATTGGTCATCAGAGATGAAAGTGGGAATTACAATATTTGTCGATTAATTCTTTTTCAATATTATATTGATGTCTGATCTTGCATAAATGGTCATCAGAAGATCAAACCTTTTAAAATTTAATGCTATTTCTAGTACATTTTTAAACGAGGGTTACATGAATAAACGACGATCGTCCTGCGTTGACGCGATGCTTTATTTTCATCGTGCAGAAACAGACATAAAAAATATTACAAAAATACAAGTAAATGTTTGTAAAAATTGAGTTAATTTGTAAGTAAACATGCTAAGAAAATGATATTCGGTTGAAATAATTGCCTTCAAAAACTTACAATTTTAGCTTCAACTGATCAGCAAAACATTTACTGTTCCCGCTACCCATGACAAACCGTGGCAGTCGATGCTTATCTATTAACTTTTTTTCTATTTGCATATTTCACGACTACGATAACTGCGCATTGTCTAGCGATTGTCCTCACAATAAACCAAATGATGCGATTACACAAATATAACAAAATGATATTTTAAGGGTGACTTCGAGCTTCTTTCATATGAATATGCGAAAGAATCATCAATAATAATCGATAATACCCTTTTAAACTTGACTGGACATGTAGAAGTATATTTCTGTATATGATTATAATCTTTAATTGTTAGCTAATACAAAATTATAAATAGTGAATCAACATAGGATTTTATAACAGCGCATTGCGGTGCAAATCCTTTATTATAGCAATGCCTTTATTTGCAGGCGTAACTCAACTGTTATCACAGTGTATTGCAGGTGCAAATCAAGTGTCATTGCAGTTGTTTGCAATCACAGATGATGTTATCGCATAATTCTTAGTTTCAATTCTGGAAAAACTTCCAGAGACCAGCAAAGGAAACTCGTCGATTATGATCGAACTGCCAACATTCCTGCATGACTCTGTATGTTGCCTCGCTGCACTCGAGCGGCCGACTCAGTCTGAACCCTGCCTCCAGGTGATTCAGCAAGCTCGAGCTCGTACGGATTTCTGGGAAAAAATCAAAATGAGGGAAAGTTCAAATGGCATGAATAAGGGTGCAATCTAAATGAGAATTGAATATGAATGACAGCCAATTGACCTATCAAGTCCAACTATTCAACTAACTTTGGTTCCATTCTCGTGCAATGGATTATAATCCGTGTAAAAATCGGATTCGATGCCTTCTTGAAATGAAATCTTGCCATTTTTGTGCGTAATGCCGTGTCCAGGAACCTAAACTTAAAATTGAAAATTTGTATTTGACTACTTTGGTCTTGCTAAACAATGCAAGATTGGCTTTGAAAATTAGTTTAACCAATTAATAATCAATTATTCTTCGTATGCACAGGCGATTAGTTCTGTATATTTTTGTTGATTCTAACCTGGATAAGGCTGAGTCTGGCAGTTGCTGTAGAGTTCCCAGCAAAAGACGCCGAAGCTCCAGACGTCGCACTTGTCAGTCCAGAGATTGCGTCCACAGATGGCCTCCGGCGCGGTCCATTTCCAGGGGGTTTTTTGGTTGTCGTTTTGAGCTTTGCCATCTGCCTGTGTTTTCGTTAATTTTCAATAATAATTATAAATTCATCGTAGAAATAGCGCATATATTTTCATTTATAATACATGTTTTATGGATATTTGAAAATTGGAAACGTTATTCGATGAATTGAGAATAAGAATTTTATGGAAATGTTTGAAAATCAGCGACGCATTTGTTCGCTAATGCGATAAACAGATGATACCAAACTAGAATTAAATTTAACTTCCATTCAGATATCTTATATATATTCGACTGCGTATCTTCAAATGAATGAATTATTAAAGCCCTTCAAAAATCTGATGTTCCCCGCTAGTTGAACGCATTTAAAATACGCATGTAAAAAATTTTCAATTTCCCCAGAAAGCAACATTTTATTTCCGAACGATCATCGAGTGACTCTAAATATTTCTCAGACCCGCACCAACAAACCTTGATCATTTGTGCAAGGCCGAAATCTGCAATTTTTGGCTTGTTTCTGTCAGTCAAGAGGACGTTTCTGGCGGCCAAGTCGCGATGCACGAAGCCTTCTTCTTGCAAATATTGCATGCCTGCCAGCACGCCCAGCATGATCGACTCTTTTTCATTAACGTTCAGGGTCATTCCTGGAAATTTAAATAATAAAGTTAATAGTTATGTCCATATAAACGTTCATTATTATTTCGAATAAACACCAAACACTTCTTATTTTTCACTCTTTTCCTGTTTTTTTCTAGCAGCTTTTGGGATGTTTTTCTGAAGTTCTGTAAGTAAGCTCGATGGTAGAGCGAGGAATGATTTTTAAACTCATATACATTATTTACCACGTTGTTCCAGCATAATTTTATTCTGTATGAATAATCTATTGTTCGATTTTTTTAAACCAATAGCGCTGATGCACGGTTCACGCGTTGTTGAAAATTTAACTTATCACGAAAAAAATGGTGATGGTGACATAGTACAAGATCGGAACTCAAGTACTTTGAGGAACGAAGAAAGTATATTCCCTTCTGACAATAATGATTATTTGAAAAAAATATGTAACTAACATAAGTTACGGCATATTAAAATAATTAAGATTATTACTCATATTGAAATATAATCATATTCCCTAACAGGGCAGAATCTGTCCTTAAAAAAGTATAAGAACTAATCACAAGACGCTACAACGTACAACAATTAGTATTAAAAAATATTCTGCTGAATTATTAATATAAAAAATATTAACAATAATAAATTAAAATGTACCTTTCCTGAGGTAATCAAGTACACTGCCGCGGCTGTGGAACTCTAACAACATGAAGAAGTCATCAGGGTCTGCACAATATCCCTGAAATTCCACTAAATTTGGATGTCGTAAAGTCATCATGGATTTCACCTCCTTGACGATGCAGTCCTCTCGCATCCGATCTGTAAAACAGCAATGCGCAAGAATTGAGTAGCGTCAGATAAAGAAAGAAATTGTATTTTCTGTTACATTTGCGCGGTCGGTGATATAATAGACGTACCTCTGTTGAAGGTTTTGAGAGCAACAATTTTATTGGTTTTCTTCATTTTAGCCATCCACACTTCCCCGTAATGACCGGCGCCAATTTTCTCCAGACGTGACACCGCCTTTGACTCTATCAGCCAGTCTTTATCTTTGCCAAGGCTAGGCGCTAGGCTAGGATCAGTCGCCTGAAAATGATAAGCCCAATATTGACTCAAGTGAAATTTTGTATCAGAACCAACACGTTCATCAATAAAAATATCGAATGAAAATGAAAGGTAATTTCATTAGTGTAGTTGACACAAAAATGGCTTGAACTTTTTGTATATAGAGAAATTGTGAAAGATAGGAGCGCTTTACTAGCAATCATTTCTGAGAGACAAGCCTACAATTGAAGTGAAATACGAGCCATATGGTTCTTGAATTACTGTTCGGGCATAAATACCTTAACATACCAATAGTATCAGAATCAAGCTATATTTTACTTTGGTACCTCAACTGCCGGATCGGAAGGAGGCTTTGGAAGAGGTCGGTTAGCAAAAATTGGCTTATTGCCACCAGCTTGACCGGATCCCCAAGGATGTGTGAAATTTGCAGATGCTGCGCTGTACGTCAGTGAGGTTCGAGGCTGAGGCTTTGGAGCCAATGAAGAGGTGAGTGGGGGCTTCGATGGAGGTTGGGGTTTGGAATTTGTCTGGGGTGAAGTAGGCGCAACCCCAAAGAAGGAATTCTCTCTCGGAGGACAAGGAGGAGGTTTATCTACCGGCCTTTTTATGGAATTTGGATTCCTGACAGGTTTGTTTGTAGAGTTATCACGATTGACGCCTGGTGTTGTTCCGGCAATTATTTCTGGACGTGCTCCTGCTTGCGTTTGGTTTGAGTGCGCCGAGGTTGAATTCAGCTGCTGAATGGAAGCCGTAAAAGGAACACTCCGACCTACGGATGCCGGTGGCTGCAGTGCTGGTTTTGAAGTAGGTCCAGACAACGAGCAGGGAAGATACTGGAAAATAATCATTTCTACTAATCTGAAACTAGTAAGACCAGTCGGCACACTGACACCAGCCAATTTATCGACCGGAAAATAAAACCCTTTGTCTGTCATTTGTCAAATTTTAGCTGAATGTTGTCAAGATAAGTTCATAATTAATGTGGAGTTAAGAAACTTACCTATTCCTATGGACTTTGCTTAATTTTGGTCACAGCAACTTCACTGACACAGCTAATACTGTACGTTTAAAAATGCACACCGTATTGACATATTCGTACGCTCATAAAAATTCGTTACCTTCTTTATTTTAGGCCCCAAAATCATGACAACACAGCAAGCTTACTTTGTCGTAGGGAGTCGTTAGCTTCTGATCTCTACTCTCGGTGTAGTGCTTAATAAGTGTCATCATGTCGGGAAACAGTTCGCCCCAGCAGCGATATCGGCCGCCCTCAGCGTGGCATACAACGTGTCTTACTTCGACATCAGCTTCGCCCTGCTCGCTGCTGCGGCTGGTGTCTGAAACGAAGGACACGAGTGATGGTGTTAGCAAGTGTTTATGATTGGCATAGGTGTGATTGTTAGGCTATGGAATGCTGATAGTTAAGACTGCAATGAATAGTAGATTGAAATTGACAAAACTACATTAATTGTGTCCCTAATAGTGCATAATTTGTTACTATTTCCAGCAATATATCTTCTACTCAAAAACTATTATTTACTTAATGTTATGGTCCTAAATACAGTTCGTGGTACGCATTGCAACCATGTAGCTTTATTATCAACCGCTTGACTGAGACTCACAGCCAGGCTGCAAACAAGATTTATCATCCAAATTACTGATTAATATCCCGCAAACTATTATTAAAACACGTGACGATGACAAGGACTCACAGGATATGACGTAGCAGGATTTTGTGTCTGACCACCGGACGAGGAAAGTCCCGGGCCTGACGGGCGGCTTGGTCAGTAGCGCCTCTGCCGCCTCACGACCCATGTTGCCGCACACCCAACTGAATGAATCATTGTTGAATGATGCTAATATCATTGCTGAATGAGGTCCATTATTGTTTAATCATTTTGATATCATCGTCGAATGATGTTGATACCATGTTGAATCATTCTGATATCATTGTTGAATGATATTTATATCATTTTTGAATGGTGTTCACTATTGTTGAATGATGTTCGTATCATTGTTGAATGATGTTCATATCATTACTGAATGATCTTCATATCATTGTTGAATGATCTTCCTAAAATTGTTGAGTGACACCCATATCATTGTTTAATGCTGTTCAGTATTGCTGAATCATGCTGATATCATTGTTGAATAATGTTTATATCATTACTGAATGATTTTCATATAATTGTTTCATGATGTCTATATCATTGTTGAATGGTGTTCATGCCATTGCTGAATGATGTTCATGTCATAACTCTTATCATTATTGAATGCAATTTTTCGGGCCCTTTTAAGGGACCTCTTCGTAATTATTATAACTGTTCCACTGATTCTTTTTAATCGAACGAAATTTAATTGAATCGGATAAAAAAAAATTTTTTATCTAAACGTGAGAATAAGGAATGCATTTCATCAGTGATAATTTTAAATCTCATTCCATTTTACTAAAGAGAATGAAGCCCGCAACTAAGCCAATTTCAGTAACTCCACAACCACAGTTGCCCGTAGTTTCAAATATTTATATACTGTTCAATACTACAATACTATACATATTTAAATGTGGTACACATGTTTTTGAAACATCTTACCTTATTTCTTTTTATTGTCGACTATTAAATTATACTCTCTCGAGAGTTATTATGTCGTTGCAATCTATTTGCTAGATTTATAGCCATGCCCTGAAGGGCTCCTTTAATAAAAATTATAACCGGCACTCTCCAGCACCGCAATTGAATGTTTATTTTAAGATTGTGTGTCCCGAAACCTACACGCGGTTCTACCCAGAGGATTCGATTTCAATATTGTTCTGGAAATATAGAATTGACAGTTAAAATTTGTCCTGCATGGAAGTATCTGATCACTTTACTACTAGTATGTATGGTCTTGTTTTGAAGTAGTGCATGGACAATAGAATGATTTTAAAGCCTAGGGGTGGCCAGTTCACTCCAGGAGCCAGGTCTCTGCCAGTACCAATATACTGCCAGTGTCACTTCTTTCTTCACTCCTAGTACCAATTCCCTACCACTACCAGTAAACTACCGTTGATTCTTTGACAATATTTTCAATTGCATTTGTTCACTACCAGTGCTTCCTTTACCGCCAGTGGAAGTTCGCTTTCACAATATTTTCAAACTGTCTCTTATACACATCTCTGAGTGCACTNCCAGTTCGCTGCAGTGCCAATTCGCTGCAGTGCCACTTCGCTGAAGTGCCACTTCGCTGCAGTGCCAATTCGCTGCAGTGCCACTTCGCTGCAGTGCCAATTCGCTGCAGTGCCAGTTCGCTGCAGTGCCACTGCGCTGCAGTGCCACTTCACTACTCAACACTCACGTCTGTTTCTCAAGTTCCGTAGGAGCGGCCAGCAGACACCGTGCCACTGCACCGTGCGTGGTGGGATCGGCGCAGCGCTGCCCCCACAGAACCTGCGCCGCGGGGTCGTCCGTCACCACAACCAGTTCGCCAGGCTGCACGTCCAGCTCCTGCTCGCTCCTCGTCCTGGGCCACGTGCGAGCAACCGTCGATTAAAATTTCAGTGATTGATAGTCGATTAAAATATAAACGAGTGACCGTCGGTTAAAATATCAGCGAGTGACTGTCGATGAAAAAGTCGATGAGTGACCGGCCATTGAAATATCAGCGAGTGACTGTCGATTAAAGTATCGACGAGTGAGCATCGGTTGAAATATCAACGAGTGGCCTTCGATTAGAATATCAACGAGTGGCCGTCGATTAAAATATCAACGAGTGGCTGTCATTTAAAAACTTCAACGAGTGACCGTCGAATAAAACATCACAAGTCTCTTCAGTCAACTAAATCAAGGAATTTCCTGGTCATCTTCTTATATTTTACCCCTCATCTTCTCAAGAATTAAATTGATATTATTGCTCCAGGATATGCAGGAGTTGAAGACCGAATGTGTGATAAATGTAAAAAGCTAATGTCTTTTAATGTCTGAAATTTGCTAATTTTTATCTAAAGTTATGAAACATTTATTTTATAATTTTTCCTCAATAGGTATAATTATTCGTATTCCTCCTATTTGAATCTCCAAACAAGCAAAATGTCTATATTTTTAGTTTGTTTGAAGATAATTTAAACACTACATTACTTGTACCTTTCATCTTAGCTTTGGAGCTTTGGGAGCCAGGCCAATTTGAATATTAAATTTTTAGCATCAATAAATATTCATTGAATTTCTTAGTTATCCATTGATATTTTTGTACTCACGTCCGAGGGGCGATCACCCTGTAGCACACAATTGGGCCGTCGGATTCATATTCTAAGGAAGAAAGAATATATACAGGAAAATAAAAATCATTTTTAATAGTGAGAAAAATTATTACCTTTTTTATTGTACTCAAATAATTGGACAAATGAATCTACTGTTATTTGCCATATAAATATGTGGAAAGTATCAATCAATTAATATTTAGTCTTAAAATTAATCCGCATTATTCGTGGTAAAAAAATTGACTCACCTGCGAGAAAATTGAAGGCAGAATCACTGCCCGAGGCTTCGCTCCCTCCAGACTCGTACAGATTAGAGTCTTTGGCAGGCGCGCACCTGTAAGAGAAATAAGTTGTGTGATATAAAAATATTGTGAATTATAAACTCAAGTTCAACTCAGTGTGAATTATAAATTCAGGACTATCATGTAATGGATGACATAAATGATCTTTTGATAAATTCAACTCGCCACCTTGCTAGTACATTTTTTTAAGCGCGGAAAAAGAGAAAAAGGTTCAGCAAGCAAAAAAATTAACCAAGAATTTATTCATCATGCGTCAAATATACATGAACATAAATCAACGTCGTAATTGATTTGACCCGAAATAAATTTAAAAGTAATCCGTATAGAATTTTTACCATCGTGTGGTGGTGCTATCAGTTTTTTCATTCCCTTCAGATATCCTCCTCAGGATCGCAGAAATTCTTTTTTGTTGTGTTGATGTATTGTGGGCTGTCACATCTGGATTATTGGGTTTCGCTTGAGCTGGGCATTGTTGAAGACTTTGATGCTGGACTGCACGAGGAGCTGTCCGATGTAGGTTAAGTTTCTGCAGTTCAACAAGGTTTTGAATCACTGAATTCCAACCTTCTTGTTTGTTTGCCTGATTTGATATGAGACGCTCAACAGACTCTGGACGATAATCCTGTATAGGTGTCAAGTGAGAGTAAGGAACGTAACCTCTTTCGCAATGCTTAGTCTCACACAAAACCCACTTTTTGTCCTGATTTATGGAATGAATTTTAACGATGTCCCCAAGTGAAATGCTCAGCTCTTGCTCGTTTTTCTTGATCCAGGACAAGACCGCTCGAGCTTTGCAGTCTTCTTTCAGCTCCGTAGAACCCATATTAGTAAAAAGTTGGTCACTCGCAGGTTGATCAGTTCTTTAACTATGCTACTCACACTTATCTATCTCAATAATGTTCTTCACTGGAATTGATTTGAATCTGTTTTATGCACAGTACTTTACTTTCCCTCAGAAATTATCCATTGCAACGAAAATTACGGATTTCTTTGCTGACCGGTTTTACTGATTTTCACTCTCAATATCTCATTTCACAGTTCTGTTTCCTGCTCTCTGAATATTGCAACACTTATTACGACCAGCGCATGATTATTAAAAAAAAGTGCAATCTTTCGATCAAATTTCACCGCGTTCAACTGCACTCTGTTCAACCTGTTCAACTGTACACAGTTCAACGTGTTCAACTGTACACGGCGTTGTCACTGCCGTATTGTTAAGTCGTAAACGACGTCATGAGTAACCAACTCAACAGTTTCGAGGACGGTATTCACTGCACGATAACCGCACGTGGTATGTTCAGAGTATCCTTGAGAGCAATGCGTTCTGAGAAGTTCTTATCACGAGTGCCTGTCCTTATCTTGCAAAGCCTAGGAGATATCTTTTGTACCATGATGTTCAGTAACGTAAGGGTCCGCAATGCATTCAACTTCTGTTATCAACTTAATAGCAATTTTCCTAATCGAAAACTCTGGTGATGGCACTAGTGATGGCCCTAGTGCACAAGTGATGGCCCTATATTCTGAAACTGGTCGAGTATAGTTTCTGCATACGAACTTACATTGGTGTCATGCCTGATAAGTTTTGGTTTAAAATATTTATTTGTAAAATTCTTGATGCATCAGTGAATTTTTAGTGCATGTATAAAATAAGAAGGAAACAATATGTTTCCTTCTTATAGTAATAGTAGTACCTAAATGAATACTATTTGCCCCTATAAATTTACCTATAATATTAGGCCTGAGCCAATCATCTAATCTATTGTTATCTAGTCCATCTAATCTCTTTAATTAATCCTTTCTTCTCTCTCCACGAGATACACACCTTGATTAAATTCTTTTTTTGTCTGAACCACTATTTCTATTTATGATCATCGATCCGACATTTTCCCTTTCTATGTGTCGGACTTCTTCCGTGGTTCCGCAACTTCGTCATTCCGTTGATGTGGATCATTGAATAAGACGAAGGACAGTCCGAAGAAATGGCTACTGTCCGGCAATGACCGTCGATTACAGTCTTGCCAGGACCATTACAGTCGACTGATGACTGCCATTGCCGGGTCTACGAATGTTTTTCTCGCTTTCTTTGGGGTGAAAGCCGCTAGGTTGACGGCACCACTCGAGATAGATGATACCCAAATGAGCGCAATTTCGGACGCGTCTTAAAAAATCAGCGACAAATGAAAATAGCGTCGATGTTGCCATATCGAGCGTTGCTTCTTTGTTTCGGTTGCTCTGGTGAAAAAATCTCGTAACTTCAAAGGTTTCATTTCAGGGGATAAATTGACCCATAAATAATCTGGAAAAGGCAACGCTTGCCAAGCATCAACGCTAATGTTCTGCAATTTGTGTACCTCTTATTTAATGAAAACCAAACTTCGTATTAAATATTTCAAACTACAATTAGTTTCAAAAAATTCTCTGCATCTTTTACTTTTATCTCAACTAAGAACGGTTCACCAATTTAAACTCATCTGGTTGCATCCAAATGATATAGGCCTCAGTAATTATCATAGTGTTAAAAATTCCCCTGTTAGAAATTTCAAGCTGTCCTGAGAAATAAAGAGACTCTTAATTATAATTTTATAATAATAATATCATAATTTTATGTAGGGGTGATGCCACCGAAACAACCGATCAGCCGCGCTCTGAAGTTCCTGATAGAAGAATCAATTTCCGCTGTACGGCTGACGGTCGGCCATCGATAACCCGCCGAAAGTTACAAACTCTCATGATCGCGTTCGTCAATTAGCTAATGAATCATGTTTCAACGAATTCAAGGAATTATGATGTAATATTCAATTCAGAGGTGAACTGAATCAGTGAGTTCTAGTTTCTATAACTAAAAAAAGTATCCGATTGAGATTTTGAGAGAACCAGGCATCATCTGATCTCCATTCATCTCTTTGGACAATGATTGTGTGCCAAATTTCAATGAAATAATTATACGGAATTATAGTGGCTCATATAATTATACTATATAATCAATCAAAAACTCTCGTTTAAACAACGCCTCAATAGTAATGGGCAATAACTCACCGAAGATGTATTATAAATTTTTGTAACATAAAAAAAAGACATCAATTGACTCAAAATGTTATGCATATACGTTCGGATATATGATTCGCACAACATCGTATATCCTAACGTATATACGTTCACGTCAACCCACCTAAAAAACTGGGCATTGCATATCATATATCACACAGAGACTGTTCAAAGCTATGTCATATATACGTCCTTTACAAGTTACGGTTATACACCACTCCATTCAACTTCTTGAGCTACTATCTTATCGCTCGCTCCTTCATCATTTTCTGTCTAAAACTGACAACTGAATTTGACATCATTATCATCTGAATTGAAAGTTTTGTGTAACATGAAGACATATTGTGTAGCATGAAAGATGGTTTAGAAGACATATTTCCCAAAGCAAAGTCCAATTTACCAATAACCTCTCATTTCTCGGACACTCGTTATTCGCTTTTCTATTTCTAAATTCCTTGTTCATTCATAACCTCAATTCAACGATGGTTTGGTGTCAACGATGGCAAGCAACTCATGAATAATTGGGTGCCACGTATAGATAGGTAAATTTCCATTCAAGTACAAAACTTGAAAAAATTACAGTTCATAAATATTTGGCATAAATTTACGATCAGCCAAAAATCTGCTAAAAATGCAGTCACAGATTCGGTCACCGTAATGAACAACGCACGCATGATTTCAATCTAAACTTTGCCAGTTGTAAACTTGGAGTCAGAATTTATGAACATTATTACTCATTCTAATTTAGGAACGTATAACTTATCAGGATTTCACGTATAACTTATTAAGATTTCAAAACCCAGTTCTGAGTTTCCAGGTGGAAACCTAGATCATATCTTGGGTCACATGAACAAGTTACCGATAGCCAGACTTGTCCCGGCATGTGGAACGCCACCGTACACGTCGACCACCAATAATGGTTGGAACTTCATGCATAAACTAACCTATCGCAACTTGAGCCGTGCTTTATTACTCCGCAGTTGAGCAAAGTTCTAATGGTTGGAGTATCCATTTAAAGTTTTAATCACCCTTGCCTATACATCGACAATGTCACTCGAACCGTGACCTCGTCTAGGAACATCGTTAGTTCCCACAGAAGCAATATTTTACGTTAAAGAAATATTCGCTTTTTAAATAGATGCCGTGATAATAACCTTGCAAACTTTTGTAGCCTCTACATCTACTCTCAGCCCTGAATTAAACTAATTTCTTTCTGCTATTGAACGATTTACGAGTGGGAAATCATTAACCCGGCTGATACTAAACTGATAAGAGAACAATATATGAGCCTGAAATAGTTGGTTAAGAAAAATTCATAGAAATTTTCTTGTTTAAAAGATGCTACAGACTCGAGTAGGCAGCACGACTGCATACTCGAGTATGCCAGTATGCACGCAGCACGACTCGAAATGATACTGGCAAGCTAAGTCTTCAGAATCATTATTATTGAATCGCAAGTTAACCAGGAATTTAAAAGCAAAGAAAATAACACAAAAATTCACCATATCTTTATAAAAGAAAAAGTTTCGGAGTCCAGCTCCATCGTCAGTTCATAACACAAAATTCTGTTCAGAAAAATTCAGTCCTAGAAACACAAATAAATCAATTAGTAAAGTAAAATGCAGTCAGGTTTCAAAACGGAAAATAAATAAATAAGACATGAAAATAATGCTGTAAACGGCCTGTCTATTTATTATTTTAAGAGTTTTATTTCCTCTTGTTTATTATCCTTCAATATATTTTCAGGTGCTGGAGATTTATATGGATATGTATACTCTCATTGCGACTATTAACATTTCTTCCTATTCAAAATTTAAACAACCAGCGAAGTATCGATTATGATTACTAATTAATAGGCATTTTTATAGAAATTACTAATTAGCGTTGTCAGTGACTTTGCCTTGGCTGATATTCGGCAAAATATCATTGTAGTTTAATATTTAACATTTGATACTAACTTTAAATACGTCGAAGTGACTGTAGCTGTTTTTCGACTAAATTATATGTGAGTTATAAATGCAATGAAAAATTTCCTCTTGTCAAATAACATTTGCAAAGATTTGCCATCAAATCTGAAAGTGACTCAAGACGCGTTTCGATGACATCATTTGTAGATGTTGCCACAGAACGCTCGTCGATGGCTCTGCCACTTACATATTCGTCCTGGGAAGAGGCACATGAATGCTCCAGTCGGACTTTGGAATGGAGGATTTACGACGAAGCCAGACGTTTGGGTCGAGGCTGAAATGTTGGCGGTAGAGCTCACAAAAGAGGATAATCTATTGCACCATTTGTAGCGAATGCTCCTAGAGACGTATAAATTGTCGCTACTTCTGCCGTGGAGAGCACGAGCCCATCGGCCACAGGGTTAGCAACAAACTCTTATTGCGGCATCCTGCTCACACGGCGGGGTGGCCGGAGAACGATATGCATCACAAGATTGGACAATGTAAAGGATCCCGTTAACAGTAAATTAAATCGTATTAGGACAAAAATATAATGCGCGGTTTCATCTTGCTTATTGACCGACTTTTGGCATGCAATTAAAAAATCAGCTACGTGGCGATCGCTGATGTTAAAAACTATCAGCTGTAAATGTACACGTTGAGTTACAGGCTTTCCAGGAGTATGAAAACCGCTGCCAAAAATAGCTCAGTAATAAAAACAACAAAGCAACATACGCAACTGTGCAACATTTTAGACTATTATCTCCCCTCTAAAATGCACAAAACACTCGACTGTACATAACGTAACACACATATACATATGTAGCTGCACCCACGTCAACATACGCAGCTGTGTATGAACTTGAGCTGTAGAATGTCGACATACGCAGTTGCCCTCAGTTAATTTTAAAGTTCAGAAGCTGGCGCTCCTGCAGGAACTTGGCTGCTGTGCCTTATGAAATTCTTAGGCAGGCTTCATCCAAACAAAATTCGTCCAAAAATATGAATATGTTTAAACATAAATGTAGAAAGTGAACAACTCACAAAGTTGTAGAACATCAAAAACACGATTCATTTTTAGGTTCTGAAATTTGTCAACTTATTCTTTTCAAATTGCATTTTGAGTTAATATGATCTGGAGATAATGCCAATGAAGAGATATTAATTTTTGCGCAAGGAAACATCATAAAAGAACTATATATCAAATTAAAACCAGGAAATGAAGAATACCAGAAATAGTCAGCATATATTTTGCAAATAATCGCAAAATATTGTTCTGGTATATATAGTAG